GGGGAAGGCTCCCTTTTCCCCGCCAGTGCAGGAAGGCATCAGTGGGTTCTAGTGTCCTCTGAAGCCCTCCTGCTCTGTCTTCTCACTTCTCCTCTAGCCCCCCGAGGGGTGAGTGGGAGATACTGTCTGTCTTTCCGAAGAGGAGAGGCTTGGGGAAAAACCTCGCAGCCCATTCCACAGCTGGGCCTCTGCTCACCACACCAGCCCAGCATGGGTGGGCCTCTTGACTTGCTCCAGACCCTGGGCAAGTTCCCTGGAGTGGACTGTGGCGCACCACCTGGTAAACACCACTGCTCTCCTGTGTGAAGGTGGCCAAGGTGGTCAGGAGGGCAGAAACAATCTGTGCTTGTACAAAGGGAGTCAACATTGAAAACCGTCAGAGGGCATAGACCAGAGTGCCTGTCTTTGCCAAGACCAGCGGCAGCCCTGAGGGCAGCCAGGCCCCTGGGGAACCAGGAAGCTGGACCAGGGAGGCAGTGGCAGCCTGGCAGGCAGATAGCCCAGCCTGCTGGCCTGGAGAGATTATCTCTCACACCGCCCAGAGCACGGGGGTCACCCTCAGACTCAGATGTGGGAACCTGCGACCCCTCCAAGGCACCAGAGCCAGGGCAGCTCAGAAACCTGCGCTGTCTTCCTGGAACCCGAGGGGAAGACCAGCACCCAGCTCAGACTGCTGGTGGGCTGGACTGTCCTCTCCCTCCCAGGCCTGGCAGGGCATCTTCTACTCCAGGCTGAGGGGAGGAAAGCCTGCGGGGACGGTCATGCCAGTGGCCCCAGAGCAGCCTGTCCTAGGGACAGAAGCAGAGAGCCTCTGCCCCCTCCCTTTCCTAAAGAGAGCGCCTCTCAATGACCAGCGCCCCAGCCCAAGGTCACTGCAGCTTTCTGCAGCCTGGAGTCCTGGTCCAGGGCTGGCCCAGATCGGAGTCAGAGGGCACGTGGGCAGCGCAGTGTCCAGGCGGTGGGCGTGAGCTTCGGGGGAGCTGTCTGGGGCTGGGGGTCGGCGGGCAGGAAGCCACCACCACACCCACCATCTGTACAGGGCCGGGCAGGGCGCCCGTCCCCTTCCACGGGAGGGGCAGGGCTGGGCGGTGGGGGTGGCCGGGGTCACTGGGCATCCCCCTCCCATGCCCAC